GGGTATTCCTTAACTAAGGAATCTTTGGCTGGGTCCTTCATTCTGGTCCCTTAAACTTGCTTGTAGGGATCCGGAGTATGGGCCCTTCTTACATATAGTGTGTATAAGGGCTTATGTAACAAGAGACACAAATTCAGGGCCCATACTTAGAATCTTGGAGCTCTGAAAGCATCCAAAGGGCTTATGGGGTTAGCTTTTCATGGTTTGGGATTTAGGGTAGCCTGTGGCCCTAACCACTCGGAGTTTGGGGGGTTTAAATTTAAGGGACATTAGCAACAGCTGGGGCACGCTTTCTTTGCAAACGGCTCGTAGACTGACCGAAATACCCTTAATGGAAAGATGTCAACTATGTTTTCCTTTCTATGTTTTTTACAGCTGTAAAGGGTGCATGGGCTACTCTAGGCAGAGTGGAAAGGGCTTTAGCGCTTGTAGGGTTCGAGGTGTAAGGCAAAGATCGCCTACAACTGCAGACTTCATAAACTCATACGTAGCTTTAGGGTTTAGGGTTTAGGGTTTAGGGTTTAGGGTTTGCAACCCCTGAGCTGCACAAACCCTCACACGTCGTAGGTAGTTGGGTCCCCGGGCGGTGCTCAGGGCTGTTGTTCAGGGATGGGCCACTGGATTCTGAAGTTTTTGTCTTTGGTGGGGCTTGGCTGGGTTCGGGGTTCTTGAGCTTGGCTTTTGGGCATGTGCTCCCAGTTGAAAGGCTCGGTTTCGGTGACTTTTGTCATTGCCCTTTCTTTCGTTTTTGCGTGATGGTATTTTGAGGGATGGGGGCTAAACCCTAAACCCTAAACCCTAGGCCCTAAACCCTATCGCGGGCTTCAGGCGGGTCATAGAAGCCACGTAGAGGTGGGAACTTAGGCCACTGGGAAGCTGAACTGCCCAATCCCGATTCTAGGGAGGTCTCTGTGTTGGGTGTGGGCTGTCTCTCTTCTCATCCCAAACCCTTAAACCCTAAACCCTAAACCCTAGCCCTAAACCTTAGACCCTAGACCCTAAACCCTAAACCCTAGCCCTAAACCCTAAACCCTAAACCGGAATTTGGGTCCCTCCTTCCCGATGCCCCAAAGCCCAAACCGCCCGCCTCGGCGCCCAGCGCGCGCAACTCCAAGGCGCAGCGGAGGCCGACAGGGCCTGGAGAAGGTGTCAGCTCTCTTAGGTTTAGGGTTTAGGGTTTGGGGTTTAGGGTTTAGGGTTTCGGGTTTTGGGTTTAGGGTTTTGGGTTTGGGGTTTGGGGTTTAGGGTTTAGGGTTTAGGGTGCAGGGTTCAGGGTTGAGGGTTTGGGGCTTAGGGGCTGAAGACCCTAGCCCAAAAAGTTTAACCTTGTTTTGGAAAGAGGATTATGAATATAACCAAAAAGGTTAAAGGTTAGCTACCCAGCCCTAGGTAGCCCTAAACCTTAAACCCTAAACCGCTGAGCGCAAGGGTCATGTTGCAAAAGGGTTGTTTGGGCCAAGAAGGGACCTGGTCTTAGTTGCTGAGTTCATAAGCCCCCCCCCCCCTATAAAAAAAAAAAACATACACTTTCAGTTCTATAGGGGGTTATAGTATTCCACAAAGTGCAAAGTGCCCTCATTCAGCTACTACGTGGTGTTGGAGCAGCCTTGCCTTCAGGGTTGTGGGTAGGGTTTGAGGTTTAGGGCTTATAGGGTTTGGGGTTTAGGGTTTAGGGTTCCCCCCACCAGCGCCGCAGACGACGCAGCGGACGCTCTCCAGCGGCCGCGCGTTGTATCCTCGGCTCTCAAGCAGCAAAGCCGGGGGGTGCCTTACTTCATGGGCTCCCATTGCGGTTTAGGGTTTGGGATTTAGGGCTTAGGGTTGAGGGTTTAGGGTTTTGGGTTTAGGGTAATACTACCCCCTCAATACTAGCCGCCCTGGGTTCCCCCCGAAAATAACCCTACTTAGGCTTAACCATCCCCAAATAGCCTTCTCTAGGAGGTTCCACCTAGGGCGGGGGTAGTATAGAGGGGGCTAAGTAGGGGAACCCAAGATTACTTGTAAGTCAATGTCAGGGCCTTGACTACTCTACTCATAACTTGCAGGTTCCCCAACTTCTTTGGGCAGGCCTACAGAATCTTACATGTAAACCCTAAACCCTAAACCCTAAACCCTAAACCCTAAACCCTAAACCCTAAAGCAGAGTCCCGAAGCATGCTTCGATGTCGGTACTGCTTCTGTTGCACGAGGAACCATGGATCTGGGGCCTACATGAGTCGATTGTGAACGAAGTGCCTCTGCACCCACGTAGAACTGAAACGCTCTAAACCCTAAACCCTAAACCCTAAACCCTAAACCCTAAACCCTTTCTTGAGTGCGACTTGAGCCGCAGGCCGCAGGCTCTGAACCCTAAACGCACGCTCCAACGGCGCTGCGTGATCATTGCAGGGCAGAGAGTTTCGGATCCCGAAAGGCTCTTTATCTGTTACCCTTATACCCTTAGTTGTCCAGTACCTAGATGTTTTGAAAGGCTAACCTTTGGGAATATAAGGGTGAATATACTACCCCAAAAAGGTTAAAGAATACCTACACTACTACTAAGTACCTCAATAAAGCCCCTGGATACCCTAAGAACAAGCCCGACGATAATGCTCCTATAAAACAGAAACCTTACTTAAAGAGACCACCAGCCCATACATAGAGTATACAGGTACATGGACCCTTAGGGTTATAAGTGGCTATTCTAAGTTCTGGACTAGGGCTCAGAGTTTCTGAGCTCCGCGGCTTTGCCATGCTTCCGGCTAAAACCTAAACCCTATTACAAACCCGAAACCCTAAACCCTAGACCCTGAACCCTAAACCCTAAACCCTGAACCCTGAACCCTGAACCCTAAACCCTAAACCCTGAACCCTGAACCCTAAACCCTAAACCCTAAACCCTAAACCCTAAACCCTGAACCCTAAACCCTAAACCCTAAACCCTAAACCCTGAACCCTGAACCCTGAACCCTAAACCCTAAACCCTGAACCCTAAACCCTAAACCCTGAGCCCTGATTACGCCCTTCTGCCGGGCGGCGCCCGTGCTTCAGCGAAACCCCCTGCTCAGAGAGTCGCCTAACATCTGCATTACGCGTTTAGGGTTTAGGGTTTAGGGTTCAGGGCTTAGGGTTTAGGGTTTAGGAGTAGGGTTCAGGGTTTCGGAGTAAGGGTTTAGGGCTTATGGGGTTTAATTGGGGCGCAGGGGTTGCGTTGTGCGCTGGGGCCGGGCCTGTGTGGGGGGGGGGGGGTTATGTGGTTCGGGTTGATGGAGGGTTTGTCTGAGGTATGTAAGCCTTGCAGGCTTGTTGTATTCCTTCGAAGTTTCACGAAGATTTCCTTAACTTGGGCACCAGCAAGCAATTCCGTAGGGGCTGAATACCCTAGCCCAAAAAAAGGTTAACCTTGTATATATACTAGGAGCAATCTGCCGAAAGAGGCCTTCGAAAGGACTCTCACGAGTCAGGGGTTCCCATCGGTTCAGATATGGGGGGGTTTACGAAAATAAGGGACCCCTAATGTAGACTCCAAAATAGTAGGATCCCCTGATAAACTGGACCCAAATAAGGTAGCCCCATTATCGTAAACCCCCATATGTCTCCTGGCCGTCCTGACTTCTCTTTGTCTGGAGTTTAGGGTTGAGGGTACTTCAAGGGACTTTAAACACTAAACCCTATAAACCTATAAACCCTAAACCCTAAACCCTAAACCCTAAACCCTAAACACTAAACCCTAAACCCTAAACCCTAAACGCAACATCAACCTTGACTGCGGGTAGAGGCTTCGATGCTCCCACGTTAGACATCGCAGCCTTGATGCCCACCCCCAAGACCGAACCCCCTCAACCGCTATATATCCCTAACTTCTGACATCCGGAAAGCCTTACCCCCGAAGCTGCAACCCTAAACCCTAAACCCTAAACCCTAAACCCTAAACCCTAAAATCTTCTTGCAAAGTCTTAGCCTTCACTAGGGCCGGTGCTTAGGCAGATGGCTGTCTTCAGGCTCGACAGCTCCCAATACAGCTTCAAACCATACAAATTTGAATGTCCCCCCCTTATACTACCAGTCCTTAAAGGGGATGTTTAGTGGGACTGTTAGTCTGTTAGTATAAGGGGGAACATCCCAACATATCCTAAACCCTAAACCCTAAACCCTAAACCCTAAACCCTAAACCCTAAACCCTAAACCCTAAACCAAAAACCCTAAACCCTAAACTCAACTTGAAGCCCTTTCTTGACTCCGGGACCTTAGGCTGGCAATCGGAAGCCAACACCTGAACTCTCTACAAGGAGGGGCCCCCCCCCCTAGTTAAAAGTAGGGTAAAAAATACCCTAAAATGGGAGTTATAATGATCCTAGCTTAGGTTATAAGTCCTTTTAACTATAGTTAGTATTAAGTATAGTAAGGGGCCCCCTCCTTGTAAGGAGCCGGTGGATCTGCCGGCTGGAGCAGGGCTACAACCCTGTGACCTGTACACTGTACACGCACACGAGGTCTCGCTCTGAGCTGAGGGACCCCGAAGCGCCACTTTCAGCCCCAGCCTCACGACGCAAAAACAAGAGCTCGACACCACACAGAAGCCCCATCATAGTAATAAAGAAAAATCAGAAACAGCAACTACTGTGACAATAGCGATATTAATGATAACGCTAAGGTTGTACAAAACCAAAACACCTTTGCAACCCTGATCCGAAGGTCGTCACGACGCGGGCCATTGTGCAAGTGCGCTGCGTGCATAGAGGGACTCTCTAAATGAAGGGTTTTGAGTTTAAGGTTTAGGGCCTAAAGCATTGCAATAGGATCTCCCCCCCCCCCCACTTTGAGAATCTCCCAAGCAGACAAAAATTGAAAGGCTTCTCAGCACGCGGATGCACCCGCCACTCCGCGCTGCTTTGTGCAAGCGCGTTGGGACTGTCGATATCTGTGGAGGGCATGGAGCGGTGCCCTGGGCCTGGGATTTCGGGCTCCTCCCCCCCTAAACCCGAAACCCTAAACCCTAAACCCTGAAACCCTAAACATGCCTATGCATCACGCATGCACGGCACGGGTGAGGCTTCCTTCAGACGCTCGTCGGACTCTTTTACGCACTGGGCCCAGTCCTGAGCTCAGACTCATGAGTGCCGCGCAACACAAAGACTCCAACCGATGTCCAATATACCCCCTTACCCTAAGGGCCCATGTACCTCAAAAGGGAACAAACCTTAAACCCTAAGTAAGCCCTTGTGCTGAAGGCTGCCGAGACCCTAGAACCCTAATTAAACACACCAAGAATCGACCTTGCACAGAAGGATGCCCATCAGGACCGTGGCGAGTCCGGTCCCAATCGCCATGGAGTACCACATGCCCTGAACTCCCATGTTGCAGTGCCAAACCTCGTTCATGGTTGGGACAGCATTAAAACTTCAAAGTTCTTTTCCTTATTGAGTTTAAGCACCCTTAATAATTAAACATGTAAACTGTTCCCCCACCATCGCAAAGAAACAAGCATGCAGCCCACTGGAAGCATTATGAGGTAGAAGGAAACCAAGTAGACAGCTGCGGGCGCCTTCTGCTTACCGATGCCACGGAGCGTGGCGCCCATGACATTCGAGACGTTGTCCGGGTAGCCGGCCAGCAAGTATATGGTAAGAAGCGTCTGCACCATGGACTGCACGGCCGGCTCCGATGTAAGCAGCTGAGCAACCAGGTGCCTCGTCAGGAGCAAGACCAGTGCCAAGCAGGTCCACATCATGGCCTGGGATGGCCCCTAAAAACCCTCTGAAAAATATTCCTGAAGATGATCCTCTTCAAACCCAATAAGAATATGAAACTCTTAAACCCAATAAGAATGTGATCCTCTTAGATCTAAAAAGAATGTGATCTTCTTAAACCCAATAAGAACATGATCCTCTTAAAACCCACTAAGAATATGATCAATTTTAAACCCAATAAGAACATGATCCTCTCAAAACCCTCAAGGGAAATTAAACACAATCTCCCACGGGCCTACCGAGTGGCGTCCAGCGCCACGCAGAGCCAGGCGGCGCGCCTGGCCTTCTTTGGGAGCTGCGCCCCGATTGCATTACCCACAACTGAGGATGCGGCGTTCCCCAAGGCAATGGTAGGCATCACAAGCACGGCCACTACGTTCCTGCAGGACGAAGGGAACCCTAAAAGGGTTTATGGTTCATATACCTTAATAGGGATTCTAGTAATATAGGGTATATGGTTCATATAATTAAAAAAGGGATTATAGTAGTACTGGCTATATGGCCTCGATTTTAGGGTTGATTTGGTCCCTCCAAGGTTCATGGTGGCCACGTGTGCAGCCAAGGGCGTGGGGCCCAAGTAGCCCACCAGCAGAGCGCAAATCTCCCAGAACCACCACTCGCTACCTTGGGGACTGAACGAACCCCAAAACTGGGATCATATACTCCATACTACGAAACCCCACTCCCCCCTGATATGCAGCATAAACCCTTTTATGGTTCATGTGGTCCCACAACCCTAAACCCTGCATTTTGAACTAATTAGGGTCCTTGCCTTAACCCTAAACCCTTTTTTACGGCTAGGACTGCTGCACTGCCTGCCTGGGACGAACTATGCCATTCAAGAGCGGGCAACGCGGACTCTGCCGCGCTGATCACAAACCACAAACCCTAAACCCTTTTGCATCCGGGCTTGGTCCAAACCCTAGACCCTAAACCCTAAACCCTAAACCCTAAACCCTAAATCCTAAACCCTAAACCCTAAACGAAGTCCTTTTAAGGTTCATTCGGTCCCCAAGGTACAGATCTGCAGTGTCGTCGGAATTGCTACTGCCAGGTATGCCCGCCAGTGGCGGAAGGCCTCCTTCTGCACTCCGAGGAGCTCCTGCTACAGCACGCTTTTATACCCACACCCGTGTAGAGGTTAGGGTTTTAGGGTTTAGGGTTTAGGGTTTGGGGTTTAGGGTTTAGGGTTTAAGGGTTTAGGGCTTAGGGGGTTTAGGGTTTGGACGGTTTAGGGTTTAGGGTTTAAGGGTTTAGGGCTTAGGGGGTTTAGGGTTTGGACGGCTTAGGGCTTAGGGTTGTAAAAGCCAAAAAGGGTCTGTGGAGTAACTACTCTGGCACCGCCAGGTGTTCTTCCTCATACAGGTGCCGGGGCCCTAAACCCTAAACCCTAAACCCTAAACCCTAAACCCTAAACCCTCTCTACCATATATATTTAAACCTTAATTGTATTTTCGAAATTTGGCCGCTTTATTTTCAGAATTTGGCCGCTTTATTTTCAGAATTTGGCCGCTTTATTTTCAGAATTTGGCCGCTTTATTTTCAGAATGAGCCAAAATCAGGCCAAAGGCTAATTGAATTTCAGAATTTGGCCGCTTTATTTTCAGAATTTGGCCGCTTTGTTTTCAGAATTTGGCCGCTTTATTTTCAGAATTTGGCCGCTTTATTTTCAGAATTTGGCCGCTTTATTTTCAGAATTTGGCCGCTTTATTTTCAGAATTTGGCCGCTTTACTTTCAGAATTTGGCCGCGTTATTTTCAGAATTTGGCCGCTTTATTTTCAGAATTTGGCCGCTTTATTTTCAGAATTTGGCCGCTTTATTTTCAGAATGAGCCAAAATCAGGCCAAAGGCTCATTGAATTTCAGAATTTGGCCGCTTTATTTTCAGAATTTGGCCGCTTTATTTTCAGAATTTGGCCGCTTTATTTTCAGAATTTGGCCGCTTTATTTTCAGAATTTGGCCGCTTCAGAATTTGGCCGCTTTATTTTCAGAATTTGGCCGCTTTATTTTCAGAATTTGGCCGCTTTATTTTCAGAATTTGGCCGCTTTACTTTCAGAATTTGGCCGCTTTATTTTCAGAATTTGGCCGCTTTATTTTCAGAATTTGGCCGTTTTATTTTCAGAATTTGGCCGCTTTATTTTCAGAATTTGGCCGTTTTATTTTCAGAATTTGGCCGCTTTATTTTCAGAATTTGGCCGTTTTTGGCTTTCTCAATGTAGTGGGATTCTCTGGGTGGGTGGGTGTTATATCCGAGCCGTAAATAAAGCTTAACCATAAAGCTGCTCGACCCGGAGTGCTGAACCCTAAACCCTAAACCCTAAACCCTAAACCCTAAACCCTAAACCCTAAACCCTAAACCCTAACCCTAAACCCTAAACCCTAAACCCTAAACCCTGCCCACCCACCCTCCCCAGAACTAGCCACTAGCCGCTCCGGCCATGCAGCATGGAGCTCGGAGGACTTGTACACCAAATAGATCGATGCCAGGAGCCACTGCAGCGTCCAAGTCGTGGTGTTCGCAATGCCTTTTAGGGTTTAGGGTTTAGGGCTTAGGGTTTAGGGTTTAGGGTTTAGGGCTTAGGGTTTAGGGTTGGGTAGGCCAAGGTTCCCTAATACGCCCCAGTACTCCCCGAGGCTCCCTAAGCTTTCCTAAGGTTTCCTAAATACCCACCGAGAGCCGAAAAGCCCCTGTTACAAGGGCACCAAACCCTAAACCCTAAATCCTAAACCCTAAAACATCAAAATTTGGGAGCCCTCTAAGCGGAGTCCCTGCCTGCGCCCATGTTCCCCCAGCGAAACACCACGACAAAGAGCACGGCCCAAGCGATGTGGAGGAGGCTGGTGATGCCGGAAATCCTGAACCCAACCAAAGTGGCAGCCCAAAGGCACCAAAAACCCCGAAAACCCCAAAAACAAATGAAATCCCAAGTAGATCCAAGTAGTCTTGCCACCCTCCAAGCAGACCAGCCACCGTGCGGGGTAACGTTCAAGGGGTGAACAGCGACAACTGCAGGTTCAGGGTTCAGGGTTTAGAGGGTTCGGGCTTGGGTTTAGGGCTTCGGGCTTCGGGCTTAGGGTTTAGGCAAAGCACCCCAGCGCCCGGCGCGAAATCACCCCCTGCTGGTTTCAGGGCTGAGGGCTTCAACTAGTTGCTTAAGCACCCCCCAAAAAAATCTTCCTTGTGTGGGTAATATAGGTTTTTTTTTGTTTTTTTGGGGGGGGGGGGGGGCGGGGGAGGAGGGGGGGGGGGGGGGGGGGGGAGGGGGAGGGGGGAAGGGGGGGGGAAGGGGGGGGGGGGGGGAAGAAGGGGGGGGGGAAGGGGGGGGGCGGAAGGGGGGGGCGGAAGGGGGGGGGGGGGGGGGGGGGGGGGGGTTTCTTAAGCAAATAGGTTTCTGGCCAGATGTCCACACGGGCTGCGGCACCGCCACGTTCCGCAGGTAGGACAGGATGCCCTGGAACCTGGATGACAACTTAGGGTCGTTTAAGGGTTTAGGGTTTAGGGTTTAGGGTTTAGGGTTTAGGGTTTAGGGTTTAGGGGCTCTTTTTTCGCCACTGTGGGTCAGGGGGGAACGAGAAGAGCGTAGGCTTGACTTGTGCAAAGAGCCCCCTTAAGTAAGGATCCCTATACCTAGATCTTCCAAAACCCCTTAAGAGAGGAATATACACCAATTCATAATAATGATCCTTAGTATAAATTAGGGTATATACCTTAACCAAGGGGGTTGGAAGATCTGGGTATAAATTAAGGAACATAGCTTTGGGTATGGCTTGGGGTGATTTTCTGAGCCTGTTTGTCCCCCTGCGCCCTAAACCTGCGTGAAACCGCAACAAGTGATTAGGGCTTAGGGAACCCTATCCTAGGAAATATCGTGATGCCCATTCCCTCACCATTCATTGAAAGCCAACACTGCCACCCTCAAGCCTGATAAACGCTAAAGCCTAAAACCCTAAATCTTCGGAAGAGCCCTGAACAGGGGACCCTCATATACCCCTTAACCTTAAACCGCGAACCCTAAACCATAATCCCATAAAATCTCACAAAACCATAAAACCATTTAAAAAACGAATGAAATGAAACCCAAGGCCCATACTACTCTTCGACCGAAGCCGCAAAACCAATCTGAGCCCGAAGCCCAACATGTGACATGCAGGCATCCAACCCTAAACCCTAAACCCTAAACCCTAAAACCGTAAACCCTGACTTATGTGGAAAACAACCCTTAAACCCTAAACCCTGACTTCTGTGGAAAACAACCCTTAAATGCGGCTTCCGGGAGCTGGAAGTTGCCAAGCAGGCCAAAGACCGCCGCGCGGTTGTAGGCGGCAGCATGCCTTCCAAGACCCTACATAATAGGGCTTATAGTGCGGTTATTGTAGTACAGGGCATACGATCCAAATTTCGGATTCATTTGGTCTACAGGACTGTAACTGAACTTGGAACCCCAGAAAACATGTAGTTTTTGCTGTTTCTTAGGGGTTCTGGTGTCCAAACAATACAGATTATTTCCAAGTACCCCTAAGAGGAAGGTTGTTAAGGCTCTACCCAAAGGCTCCAATGTAGTTCCTTTTTGGGTTAGTTATCAGGGATTCTAGTATACTACCCCAAAAAGGTACTACGTAGGAGCCTTTGGGTACCGACTCTGAGGAAGTTTGCCTCGCAACGTCGGCGTGCTGGCCAACGGCCAGGAGGATGTCGTCACTGAACCAAAGAAGAGGGATCCTGAGCATTCCCTTCAAACGAAATGAACCCTGAAAGGGTTTATCGTTCACATGTTAAAATCTTGAAAGGGTTTAGAGTTCATGTATTGAATACCTTAACAGGGATTCTAGTCGTATAGAGCATATGACCCCAATTTTCGGGTTCGTTCGGTCCCCTCGGTTCCCAGGCCTTTCTTTGAGTACGCCATCGCCCAGTTAAACTAAAGCCTATAGATAAGTAGGGCCGCCCTTATATCCCCCCAAAATGTATAACCCTTGAAATAAGAACATTTGCAAGCAGTAGTCATAGAGACTTGGAGTTAGCTCAAACCGACATTCCACACATCTGGACTGAACATCCCTGCCGAAAGCGCGGGCCCATGATTGTCGGCATAATTATTAGGGTTTAGTGTTTAGGGTTTAGGGTTCTTGAGCACATGCAAGCGTCATCCAGAGGAGTTGTGCGACCGTGATGATTCGGCTCCTCTGCAGGTATTGCACCTAGGCTGCGGCTCAGGGAGTTTGAGAAAACTGGCCAGGCGAGAGTATCTAGGACGGCCCTCACAAACATTCTGGGAGAACATGTCCTCAGTAAGATTCCTGAAAAAAAGCCATGGTTCTTAATCCCTTCCCCCTTTTATTAAATACCCCCCCCAATAATAAAAATACTTTCCGGAAAAACCTCCCGAAACCGAGCCCGCCTTTTAAACCCTATTCCGAATTAGGGGGGGGGGGGTTCAGGCCTCCAAGAAATCCTTCAACACCAATAAAACCCTCAGAGGGTTTTGGGTTGGGGGGTCTAGGGTTAATTAAGGGTTTAGGGCTTAGGGTTCAGGGTTTAGGTTTAATTTAGAGGCCCGTCTTTTGGCAGCACGAAGCTGTCTGTCAGCTGCCTGTGAGCCTGGCTCTCCACACCCTGAAGTCTAATTTTGCGACATTTCGATAAAAATACCCCCTAATAATAAAAACACATTTCGAATTTTTGAAGGGGGGGGGGGGGGAACCCCCGTTTAATATTAGGGGGAAGGGATTAGAAGGGAATGAGGGAATGCATTCGCTTACAGTCAGCACACACTGCCAGACGTGGACTTGCGGGCTTAGGTTAAACCCCAAACCCCACACAATAAAACCCTATCTCTATCTAATACTTGGCGTTTGCCTCAAAGGCCCCCTCACCGCAGCGCCCCAAGGACGAGGGGGCCTCTGGCGGCCTTCTGCCCAAAACACCTTTCCTTGCGGGACTCCCTGGGACCCCCCTTTGGGCCCCTTGGCCCTATCCCCCCTCCACTCCCCCCTCCCAAAACACTTTGGCCTGATTAGCCGTGACTCGGTCCTGAAACCGCGCGACCCGTCTGAAAATCCCTGGCGCCTTGGCTTCTGGTCTGAATCACGTAAGGAGGCTGGGAGGGTGGGGTGATACCAAACACATAGTGAGGTAAAAGAAACGGCCCAAGCCGAACGTAAACCCGAAACCCGAAACCCGAAACCCTGAACCCTGAACCCTGAACCCTAAACCCTAAACCCTAAACCCTAAACCCTAAACCCTAAACCCTAAACCCTAAACCCTAAACCCTAAACCCTAAACCCTAAACCCTAAACCCTAGCTTCGACTCGCAGGCGCACACAAGGAGTGCTGTCCCGCGCCGTGCGCTTGGCTGACGAAGGTGTCCAGGGCACTGGTCAGGCCGAGGCCTAGACTCAGCGCGCAGCAGTTCCTGGGCTTTCAAGGGCTTCTTGAGGCACTCAAGCCTAGGCTTTCCAAGGTTTAGGGTTTAGGGTTTAGGGTTTTAGGGTTTTAGGGTTTTAGGGTTTTAGGGTTTTAGGGCTTTAGGGTTTTAGGGTTTTAGGGCCGCGGGCGCGGGAATCCGAGATTCATGACATCGAAGCCCCAAGCCCAAGCCTGGAAAAGCAGGTATGCACCAGGAAACTGAACAAACATGCGAAGGGCACCGTGACCTGGTTCCTGAATCTCAGGCTTGTGGTTAGGCACATACATGAGGGGTTCATGATATTGGAGGTACCTTATTGGGGGTCCTGATTGTATTACTTGGGGGTCTAAATATCGTGGGTCCCCTATTCTCGTAAACCGTTACATGAGGCTTCTGCAGGATACATAGGGGTGTTTCAAGGCATGGCGAGGGTTAATTGGGGATGCCGCACCCGAAAACCTTAAACCCGAACCAGGGGTCTGCATCATGTTCCCCAGCCCGACGGCAGCGAGCTCAGCAGCATCCCCCGCGTGGCCTCACCAGACTCGACGCTTTGGGTTCATAAATTTGCTCTTTGGGGCGTGTAAAAATCGTGCGGGTGAGGATCCCAATTCTTGGGCTCATGCAGCCTTCATGGAATAGGGGCTAAAGCATCATCATCTCTCTGACCATGAAGCCTGTGTTGGTACCTTCCCTCTCAGCCATTCACCCCCGCCCTTTCATACCTTATAGATATTCCACAAAAGAGGTTCTAGACTCCATATATATATATATACATATATATTTTGTACTGTATATTGCATAGTGCATTAACCAAAGTATCAATCATGTCAATCATGCCTCCCCTAGCAGATTTCTCGAACCGCTTCACCTTTGCCGCGGCTATGGATGCAACACCTCCGGCCTAGGCAGATCATGTTGCAGAGCTCGTTCGCAAACATCATGACGTTGTTAAACCTAGGTCAGGCTGGACCCCCCAGCTGAGGCACAAAAATCGCTTCGAATCCACCAGGAAAAACCTGCCAGGCGGCGTCATCGGCAGCCAGATCGGGAAGACTTCTCGCAGCAGCTGCCATCGGGGTGTCGCTGCCTCGCCGGAGAAAGGCTCCTGAGCCTCCAGTTGAGGCTCCCTGGCCAACATCTAGGGCTAGGCGATGAAGTGCTCAGGTGCTTTGAGCATGCACTCGGACTTGTGCCGGCGGCTGCGGAATCCACGGACCCTGGCAAGGTGGGCATCCAAAAACAAACCGAGATGCAAAGGTCCACGGTTAGGGTTCAGGGTTGAGGGTTCAGGGTTCAGCGTTTAGGGTTTGGGGTGTAGGGTTCAGGGTTTTAGGTTAGAATCAACGGAGATTATCGCGAATATGCGTTGAACTACTAGCATGGGCTTGCTGTACGAAGTTCATGATGCGGAGCCAAGCGGTCAGGCGTTCCACAGAATTTGTGCACACCACCAAGCGCGTGCGCGATGGTCAATTCCGTCGCCTTTTGTGCACCCAAGCAAAGCGGATCGCTGCGATCGCCACTGCCGATTGAGTTTTGGCACTCTACATGAGACTAAATTGGAATGTATTTGCATGTTTGGAGTCGCGCCCAGGCTCCGTAACTTAATGCAACTGCCCATCTGCATGTGCCGAAACCCTTCTCTTTTGCAGGTGTGATTTTGACTGTTGCAGGTTCTTTCGGGCGAGGCCTAACGACCCTGAACCCTAAACCGCACAAGCCTAAACGCCGAACCCCACACCTAAATGCCATCCAACTGCCTCCGAGACACCTGTCGATGCAATCCTCGGCGTGCAACGGCGCCAGCTGTGAGTGATTAGAAACCATTTAATGCCATTTACCCTAGGGCTCCAAGCATATAAATAATACCTACATTGGGTCTACAGTGTGCAAATAATACCTGCTTTGGGCTATTTGGAGCCTTAGGGTTAGTAATGAAGCATATCTTGTCAACATGCCTTCGGGCGATGGGGGGCTCAAAAAAAGCAAACCCTAAACCCTAAAGCCAATTTTCTTCTAAGCCCTAGACCCAAACTTCCTTAAGGAGGTTGTATACAAACCACATCCCGATGAAGTTCTTTAGGCGGATGGCGAGAAATCCGCGCAGCGGCCGCGACAGGCGGGCGCCCAGTGCAGTGGCCAGGCTCTCATAGCGGGTTGGCCTGCGCACATCCATGCTGTCCGTCTGAACCCGGAAAGTGGGACCATATACCTTAGACTACTAGAATCCCTATTTGGGTATATATATATATACACATACTATTTGGGTATATATATATATACACATATATGAACTCTAAACCCTTTCAGGGCTCATTTGGTCCTTTAGGATGCTGCGGAGTCCCGCCTCAGAGAAGTTTAGGTAGAGTGGTGTGATTGTTGTGGTTACTGTGGCTTGAATCTGATATGGGGCTGGATGCCACTCGCTTTCTTTGCAGGGAGTGCCTTTGTTGCTTTAGGCTGGCGAGTACACGATGAAAAGACCCCCCCCCCCATGCTTTTTAGGGATGTTCTCGTGGCTCACGCGGCCAAGCAAAAAGCTTTCGAGAGAGGGGACCTGCGTAAAGTTCTAGAACCCCTGAACCATATAAGCCCTAAACCCTACAAGCTTAGTCCCTCAACCCTAAACCCTAAACCCTAAACCCTAAACGCTTAGTCTGTTTGCACTACTCGTCTGAAGTCAGCCTTGCATGGCCCAGGAGAGCTAAAACTGCATCGAAGTGCTGCAGAGACCTGGGCGGGAGTCTGCCCAAAGAGCCCAATGCCCCTTTTTTAAGGAATATAGTTACCTTAAATCATATTAAGGATCCCCATATAAATTAAGCGGTATTCCCTACTCAAGGGAGATTGGGCTCTTTGGGTGTAGGATGCAGGAACTTGGCATGGCTGAGAGCGGCTTAGGGGGTTAGTGTTTGGGGTTGGGGTTTAGGGTTTAGGGCACACAGATATTTATGGATTATATAATGCAAACTTCATCAGAGGCTGGAGGGGAAGCCGGAACCCTTGTTGATACCATAGTCAAGCTCTGGCGAAACCACAGCCTATGATGAACCCCCCCCCCTCCCCCCCTACTATAATCCCTATGAAGGACTGCTAGCATAAGTGAAAAAACTTCCCAAGCCCTAAACCCTAAACCCTAAACCCCCCATTCAGGCTTGTTAGTATAAGGGGGAAAACCAGCCCAAGCAGCAACTTTCAGCTGAGGAATGGGCTCAGTTGCCTCGCTGGCATCCAGGAACGCCCGGAAGCGCTGGCGCACCGAAGAAGCCTCTACTGAACTTGGGTTTAGGGTTAAGGTTTTTGGGGTTTTAGGGTTTAGGGTTTTAGGGTTTTAGGGTTTTAGGGTTTTAGGGTTTTAGGGTTTTAGGGTTTTAGGGTTTAGGGTTTAGGGTTTAGGGTTCAGGGCTTTAGTAACCAACAAAAATTAAAAATAATTTCCAAGTACCCCCAAGAGGCATGGTCCAGGTCAGCTTCGGACAGGCCATGGTTCCCTCGACAGGAAATACAGCCAGTAAATATGTACATTCGGATGTTCCCCTCGAAACTCACAGCCCTTATATAGGGATGCTAGTATCCCCCATTATCATCCCCATTCAGGACTGTTAAGACCCAAAACCCTAAACCCTAAACCCTAAAACCCTAAACCCTAAAAAACTGGAGCCTTGGCTTGGAGAATCTGCAGGAGACCCTGCAGGCGAGAGCGGCGGCGAGCGCGGCGGCGACCGGGGTGGGAGAGGAGGCGGAGGCGGAGGTGCGGGCGGCGCCGGCGGCTCCTGGTCAGAAGGGTTTAGGGTTTAGGGTTCAGGGTTCAGGGTTTAGGGTTTAGGGTTTAGGGTCCATATATACCTCATTAATTCTATTCTCGGGCTCAAAAATCCCGAAATAGGAGGTACTTTAAGGCCCAAATATTCCATATTGTTGGCACATTGATGCCTGCATGCTGCTGCAGAAATCAAACCCTCTGAGACCGCGAGACAGATGGCCAGAAGGAGCGTTTGGAACCTTGCAAGATTGCGTCCGCGTTTAGGGTTTAAGGTTTTTTTGCCACCCGCCTAGCAGACCCCCTCTGGGATCACTCCGCTGGGAACAGTCGTGCTTACGTGAGCGTTCCTATTTTTGCAAAGGGTTTAGGGTTTAGGGTTTAGGGAGCTCCTCAGCACTCCGGGAAGCTGCAGTCGGCTGAACAGGTGGGGCACTGGCTTCGCCTGGAAGTCCTGGCTGGCTTTGGGAAATGGGCATCTGAAGGATGCGGTTTGCAGTAGCTTTACATCGGCAGAACGCGGTACTCGCACCCACTCCTTGGTGGTAACCACGCGCTGTTATGAACCGATTGCATTCAACTTACAAATCAACCAACCAGAATGCCACGAAGTCACTACTGGAGGCCCATTATAGGCAGCGCCGTCTCAACGGCGCTTGGCAGAATATTCGTTAAAACCGATGAGATCAGCGCAAGCTCTACCCTTGATTACAAAGCCATAAGCTTAACAATTGAGGCGCGCCTTTCCTTTTTTGAAACCAACATGGGCACTTCTCCACATCATTGATCCCTCGTTGTGTGCCTTTGTGTCAGGCTCCCCCATACTAGAACAGAGACCCAAGAGCAAATGTCATTTTACGCAACTTCCCAGGCTTCCAGTGCCGTACTCTGAGCCA